CACTGTGCAAGGGGGCTACCTAACGTCCCTTGTTGTCACTTTTCCTCATATTTCTAGATGGCCCATTCCCTCTACTTCAAGTCTTTGCTCAAATAGTTTTTTCTCAGTGAGGCCTTCTCTGACCACCTAGTTAAGATTACAGATCACTCCCACTGCCCCTGGTACTGTCCAGCCTGTCTTCATCCTTCATTTTTCCCACAGAACCTGCCACCTTTAACATACTAGATATTTACTTACATGTTTTGTTTATTATCTTCCTCTCCCATTAGAATGGTAGCTTCTTGGGGCGCCTGGGTGGCGCAGTCGGTTAAGCGTCCGACTTCAGCCAGGTCACGATCTCGCGGTCCGTGAGTTCGAGCCCCGCGTCGGGCTCTGGGCTGATGGCTCAGAGCCTGGAGCCTGTTTCCGATTCTGTGTCTCCCTCTCTCTCTGCCCCTCGCCCGTTCATGCTCTGTCTCTCTCTGTCCCAAAAATAAATAAACGTTGGAAAAAAAAAAAAAAAGAATGTTAGCTTCTTAAGGGCGGTGATTTTCATCTGTTATGTTCACTCTATATCCTCAGCATCTAGATGGGTATCTGATGGGTAGAAGGCCTTTAGTAAGTACTTAGTGAGGAGCTTGGTGACTGAGCACTAGGTCTGATCTACATGGTACTTTATACCAGTTTACCCTTCCTAGGCTGGGGATGTTTGTATATAGTACCAGAGCACATACTCTATACCTCTTATTCTAATTAGTTCCGGAAATGACAGACAGGTAATTCCAAAATCTTATTTAAGCCAGTTTTTTGGTGTTTTTTTTGTTTTGTTTTGTTTTGTTTTACCTTTCACTCCCACTACTCTTTATCTAAAGGTACTGGAATTTGCCAAAGAAAGACATTATAAGAAAAGAAAGCTAAGACAATATCCCTCATAAACACAGATGCAGAAATCCTTGACAAAACATTAGCAAATTGAATCCAGCCAAGGATAATACATAGAGACAAGGTGGGTTTGATCCAGTTGAATTAAGAGTTCCCTGTAGCTGAGGATGGTCAAGTCACAGTCCTCTCACATTCACAGCAGGACGGTGACAGAGTCAACAGTGCAGCTATATAAAGGATGTGGTAATCCCAGGAGGTGAACTTGCCAAACAGACTCCTTGGCTGCCAGAAATTATACGGCTAGAAGAGAGAAAAAGAGGTTTTTGTTTCCATGCTGCTGCTGCTGGGATCTTAAGGATTTTATTCCATCAAATTACTTTTGTAGGACCTTCTTGTTAACTTCAGCAACTAAACCCCCTTGATGAGGATCCCAGATAAGAATTTGAACCTTATCAGTGAATCGTACTCTGCTTTAAAAAAAAAAATGATATCATAGTAGCAATCCAAGTTTCCACTTGCCTTTCTCCAAAACCTGTTTCCTTCTCTGACACTTTCCTTTTCTCCCACTCATTTATAATTTATTTGCTTGCACTGTGCTTTTCTTCGTTATTGCTTTTCCTTTATTCCATCGTCTTTTTTACTGCTACACACAGTAAGTTTATAAGACAACCAAATTATAAAATCCATGACAGCAGGAACTCTGTCTTTCTGTTCACTCACATATGCCTAGCAGTGCTGGGCATGTGGCAGATTGTTCGATAAATAACTTTTGGATGGACAGATGGACAAATAAGTGGCCTTTCAGTCAACTTAATCTATCACGGTACTAGGTTAATCTTTTGGGACCTTCTTAAAAGCATATGTTCTTCCTAACTTCTACTCCAGATTTTTTAAAAATTGTGCCTATTTTTTTTTTTAGCTTTCTGGGTATTTGAAATCCAGATAAATGGATGTTTTACTGAATAATGAAATTGTGAGCAGGGTTGCTCATATACTCTCTCTCATTAGAGTCTGTTCCTTTTCAGGTCTGGTATGACTCTAAAACGGGTACTTATTGGGAAGGAGCATGTACTGTGAAGATCCCAGTAACTTTGGACTCTGTAAGTTGTTTTCAGGCTGTAATTTTTACCTACTGTGCTCTATCAGTCTGCTTGGACTGCCGTGATAAAACACCATAGACTGGGTGGCTTAACCAACAGAAGTTGGTTTTCTCACAGTTTGGGAGGCCAGATGTTCCAGATTATCGGGCCAACCAATTCATTTCCTGCTGAGGACTCTCTTCCTGGCATGTACACAGCCTCCTTCTTTCTGTGTACTCACATGGCAGAGAGAGAGCATGCACTCTTTGGTGCCTCTTCTTATAGACACTAGTCCTGTCAGATCAGGGCCTCACTTTTTGGCCTCATTTAACCTTAATTACCTCTTTAAAGGTCCTGTTCCCAAATACAGTCACATTGGTGGTTGGGGCTTCAACATATGAATCTTGTCGGGATACAGACACTCAGTCCATAACATGTGCCTGCATAGCGAGAACCAAGGACATAGTGTTCTGCATAACAACACTTATAGAGAGAGTCAAAAAGCAGATTAATGGTTGCATAAGGATGGGGCAGAGAGAGGGCTTGGGAGCAATGGGGAATGACTGCTAATGGGTACAGAGTTTCTTTTTAGGGTGATGAAAATGTTTCAAACTTGATTGTGGTGATGGGTACATGACTCTCAATATGCTAAAAAACATTTAATTGTACATTTTAAGTGGTTGAATCATATGGCATGTAAATTATACCAATAAAGCTGTTAAAATGTAAGAAAAAAAGAATAAACATATAGCCTGGTCTCACGGTATGAAACATCAAGGACAAAGAATTCTTCCCCATATATTTACATTTGTATGTGTAAGAAAAACAGGAACACTGAAAATGGAGTAAAAATCCCGGTCACCACACACACCATATGGAATGTCTTTCTACCAGACCAAGTCACAAAACATGAGTTTTCAGTTGTAACCCTGGACCTCTAGGTGCAAGGAAGGCTATCAGTTTCGATGTTGGAATCACAGGGGCCCATCCCACCTGAACTTGTGAAGGGGAGTTTGCTCTTGCAGCTAAATCACAACCACTACTGCAGGCCCTAAGTAGTGTTAAGAGTAAGAAACATTTATTGAGGTTGTTTTTTGAAAGCTGTCATCAGCAGTATGGACTCCATAATAAAATGATTTCAAATTTCAACTTTCAGATCTAGAAGAGACTTTAACATTCATCGACTTGAGTCTCTCATGCTTACAGAGGAAGAACCTGAGTTCAGAGAAGTTAAATTACTTGTCCAGGCTTATGGCTAGATTTTGGCAGAACTGAGAGAAGAACCCAGGCCAGCCGCACTCCCACTTCAGAGCCCATTCTGTACTAACCTACTACCTCGGTCTTTGAGAAAAGAAAAGACGAAGCGATGGGCTGATGAGGGTGGGTAGATAAATGCACTTTACTCCTTGCTGCCAACTGTGAGTCAGGCAGAGGGTGGACATCTTATCTACTCCACCCTCACACCCAACTTCATCTGTATTCGTGTACTTTTCTCCCTCTGGTACTTTACTCAGTGAAGTACAAGCCCCCATGTGATCTAGGGAGCTTCCTTACAGAGGACTGTATGGGGAGGCAGGAGACCTCCTGGGCTTTCTGTGCTGGGAATGCCACTCCAGAAGAACCATAGGTATGGGCCATGTCTATAACACTGTTGTTAGAGTCACTTAAAGTGCTTTCGGGGGGCGCCTGGGAGGCTCAGTCGGTTAAGCGTCCGACTTCAGCTCAGGTCACGATCTCGCGGTCCGTGAGTTCGAGCCCCGCGTCGGGCTCTGGGCTGATGACTCAGAGCCTGGAGCCTGCTTCCGGTTCTGTGTCTCCCTCTCTCTCTGCCCCTCCCCCGTTCATGCTCTGTCTCTCTCTGTCTCAAAAATAAATAAACGTTGAAAAAAAAATTTTTTTTTTTAAAAGTGCTTTCAGGGTTTCTATAACAGAAGTTTCACAAATTTACTCTCAGAATTGAGTCAGGCATCCTGGTGACTCAGGAAAGCAGGGAGCAGGAAGGGTATGGACTGTAGTGAGTAAGGACAAAGTCATCTCCCTGAAACCAAGAAACTGTAATTTTTTATAGGCACACGTACATACATGTGGGCCTACTTACACAGGCAGAAAAACTCACTCCTTAGCAGGGCCCTGGTGAAACATGTATATTATGTTGACAAGCAAATTAAAAATACAAAACAGGAACTAGTAATAGGATAGGCAGAAGAGGTAACAAATTGATGAAGGGTGAGAAGTTTCCCTAAGAATTAAAAAATGGACCATTTTTTTTTTTTTACTCTTTACTCTTTTTTTTTTTTACTCTTTTTTACTCTTTGAACTCTTCCTTTTAATGCCAGGGCTTCCATATTTTCCATCTCTGTGCTCACAAATTTACTTTGCTTTTGAGTCTATATTTGTAAAGAATGTGAATCTTAGAGCACCTGGGTGGCTCAGTCGGTTAAGTGCCTGACTTCAGCTCAGGCCACGATCTAACAATTCATGGGTTTGAGCCCCATTATCGGGCTCTGGAGCCTGGAGCCTGCTTCAGATTCTGTGTCTCCTCTCTCTGCCCCTCCCCCACTCGTGCTTTGTCTCACTCTGTCTCTCAAAAATAACTAAATGTTGTAAAAAAATTTTTAAAAAGAATGTGAGTCTTGTACCATGAAGTATTTTTAGATTCTACTTTGAGATTGCCTTTTACAAATGCTCCTTCCCCAAGAGTATTGTTCTGTTATAGATACCAGTGTTTCAACGAGGTGGAAGTATAGTGCCCATAAAGACAACTATAGGAAAATCCACAGGCTACATGACTGATTCCCCATATGGACTCCGGGTGGCTCTCAGCACTAAGGTATTTGGAAAATGTTACCTTTACACAACTCATTCGTTACTACTTTATCTCTTTACAGGAGTAGTAGCCTTCTGAGTATGTGGTAGTATTTAAAAATGATACACCCCAGTTAGTTATGGGATGGGTGTTTCTGATGTTTTGAAACATTTCAGATTCACTGTCCAGCTTGTCTGACTTTCATGCAATTATACTTAAGAGAACTCTGAGAACTAGAAATGTTAGCAATTTCCTCTGGAGCATCATGACCTTGGTGCTCTGCAGCTTGGCCTTGATTACCACTGGACTAAATGCTCACTGGGCATAGTCAGCCTGCCACATGGATTAGCCCTAAAATTCAGTCTCCTCTAAGAGGGTACCTGTATCTACGCAACATTTCATCAACACCGACCCCACACAATGACTTTTGTTCTCATCAGATGGCTCAAACAACTAAAATTTCCTGGGGTAAAGCTTAGAAGGATCCAGAATTTGTATGTCCTTTTCAGAAGATCTTTTGAGCCAAATGAAACCTATAGCAGATTCCTTTCTTATCCTTTTGCCCAAATACACTTCCAACACAATTTCTTACTCTTGCACAAATATTATAAAATAATTAAACTTTATTTTTCTTACATCTTTCTTTTCCATCTACTTCACTTAGACATGTCTTCTTGGACCAAACTATGAGTCTCAGACCACAGAATAAATACAAGAGACTCGAGATCCATAGCACATCAAACATTGTCAATAACAATAAACTGCCATATGGAGTGCTGTGACATTGTTTGACATGCCAAAGGGGTCCTCCTACTGAAATGCAGAAGGAACTTCCATTGTCTAAATGGAGGGTTTCTAAAGATAGCTGATCTCCTCCATTATATACTACATTTTTTTTAGCTTCATTTTATTGCGTGAACTTTTCTTGACCTGTCGTCTCATTTTAAGATACTATTTTCAAATAAGCCACCTGTGCCACTGACCATGTTTCGTAGTTTAAATTTTTTTCAGCAAGGTCTCTTTGTGCTCCTCTTATGTGACTTCCTTATTCATATTAATTCACCAATGGGCACTGAATGTATATATTTGTATGACTACATTGTGCAGCTTGAATAGTAAGCTTTTGTTTAATAAAATTTTTCACAGATTTTTTAATCCCTCTAGTGGGTGACATTCTTTTCCTAGTAAGCTATTATATAAGCAGATTCTCTCCCTATGATTCACTCTCCAGGGTTCTGCTGTGGGTGAACTCTATCTCGACGATGGCCATTCATTCCAGTACCTCCACCAGAAGCAATTCTTGCATAGGAAGTTTTCATTCTTTTCAGGTGTTTTGACCAACAGGTAATAGCAGCTAAAAAGCTATGTGCTTTCTTAAATAAATTATGCTATCCTCAAAAGCACAGCTGTTGTTTTAAGGTACTATTTAAAGAAAGTAATGATGAAGGCCATTTGTGGAGTATTTTTCTTTTTTTTTTTTTTTTAGCTTCACTAAGATATAGTTGACAAATAAAAATGTAATGTATTTAAAGTGTACAAGATGGTGATTTGCTGTATGTATATACTGTAAAAGGATTCCCACCATCAAGTTAATTAACTCACCCATCACCTCACATATTTACCTTTTTTGGTTTGTTTGTTGTTTTGTTCTGTTTTAGTGAGAACACTTAAGTTCTACTCTCTTGGCAAATTTCAATTATAGGATATAGTATTGTCAACTATGGTCACCATCTTATATGTTAGATCCTGAGACCTTATTCATCTTATAACTGAAAGTTTGTACCCTTTAACCAGCTTCTCTTTCCATTTGCAAATAGAAACAATTTTACTACTTCCTTTCCAATTTGGATGCCTTTTATTTCTTTTTCTTGCCTAACTGCTCTACCTCGGGTGTCCAGTACTATGTTGAACAAAAATGGTGAGGAGTCGGCATCCTTGTCTTCTTTCTGATCTTGTTTCAGCTTTTCTCCACTGAGTATGATGTTAGCTGTGCACTTGTCAAAACAGCTTTTATTATGTTGAGATACATTCATTCTGTACTCAATTTGTTGAGAATTTTTATCATGAAAAGCTGTTGAATTTTTTCCAATGCTTCTTCTATATCTACTGAAATAATCATATTATTTTTATCCTTCTTTTGTTAATGTACTGTATCACATTTATTGACTTGCCAATGTTGAAGCATCTCTGTATCCTAGGAATAAATCCCACTTCATCATGGTGTGTGATCCTTTGTTGAGGAATTCTGCATCTGTGTTCATCAAGGATATTGGCCTGTCATTTTCTTTTCTTATAAGTATCCTTGCTAGCTTTGGTAGTGTTCCACTCTTTGGAAGAGTTTGAAAAGGACTGATAATTCTTTAAATGTTTGATGGAATTCAATAGCAAAGCCATCTGGTCCTGGACTTATCTTTGTTGGCAGTCTTTTATTAATGATTCACTATCCTTACTAGTAATTGACCTGTTCAGATTTTCTATTTCTTCATGATTCAGTATTGGTAGCTTGTATGTTTCTAGGAATTTATCCATTTCTTCTTATCCACTTTACTGGTGTGTAATTATTCCTAGTAGTTTCTTATGATCCTTAGTGTTTCTGAAGTATCAAATGTAACGTCTCCTCTTTCATTTCTTATTTTATTTATTTATTTATTTATTTAAATTCTAGTATAGTTAACATACAGTGATATGTTAGTTTCTGATTGTACTTACTTGAGTCCTCTTTTTGTTGGTGAGTCTAGCTAAAGATTCGTCTATTTTGTTTATGTTTATTTTTCTAATGTAAGTAATCTCTACATCCAAGGTGAAGCCCAAACTCACAACCCTAAAATCAAGAGTCACATGCTTTACTGACTGAGCCAGCCAGGTGCCCCAGCTTATTTATTTGTTTTTTAATTATCTCTTAGTTTCATTGACCTCATATTGTCTTCTTAGCCTCTGTTCCATTTATTTTCACTCTGACCTTTGTTATTTCCTTCCTCCTACCTTCTTTGGGCTTAGTTTGTTCTTCTTTTTATAGTTCCTTGAGGTGTAAAGTTAGATTGTTTATTTAAGGTCTTTTCTTTTTCTTAATGTAGGCGTTTATTACTATAAGCTCCCCTCTTAGAATTGCTTTTGCTGCATCTTGTAAGTTTTGATATGTTGTGTTTCCATTTTACTTTGTCTAAGATACTTTATTTCCCTTTTGATTTCTCTTTGACACATTGTTTAGGAGCATGTTACTTAATCTCCAAGTATTTGTGACTTTTCCAGTTTTATTCTTGTGATTGATTTCTACTCTCCTACTATTAGGGTTAGAAAAGATGCTTGATATAATTTCAGTCTTTTTAAATTTGTTAAGACTTATTTTGTATTCTAACATATGATCTATCCTGGAGAATGTTCCATGTGTGCTTGGGAAGAATATGTATTTTGCTGCTACTGAATGGAATGTTCTATATATATCTATTAAGTCTATTTGGTCTAACATGTAGTTTAAGTCCATGTTTTCCTTATTGGTTTTCTGTCTGGATGATCTATCCATAGTTGAAAGTGGGGCACTGAAGTCCCCTGCTATTACTGTATTGCTGTCTGTTTCAACCTTCAGATCTACTAATATTTGCTTTATATATTTAGGTGTTCTGATATCGGGTGCATAAATATTTACAAATGTTATAACCTCTTAGTGAATTGACTCTTTTATCATTATGTAATGATCTTTGTTGTCTCTTATTACAGTTTTTGGCATAAAGTCTGTTTTGTTTGATATAAACATAGCTAGCTCTGCCTTTTTTTGATCTCCATTTGCATGGAATATCATTTTTAATCCCTTCACTTTCCTTCTGTATGTTTCCTTAAAGCTGAAGTGGGTCTCTTATAGGCAGCATGTAGCTGGGTATTGACTTTTTAACCACTCAGCAGCTGTGTCTCTATTGATTGGAGAATTTAGTTCAAATACACTTGGAGTAATTATTGATAGGTGGTTTGAGGGCTCATGTCTCAGGTGGGAGGCCTTAAAACTGGGGTACTAGAAGTGTGGTCCAAACCCTTCACTCTTCAGGGAGAAGTTGGGATTTGGGAGTTCCCCTTCCACTTGTATGACACTGTCCTGGGGATAGGGAGTGAGAGTGTGTCTTAGCCTTTCCTACCTGTTTCGATGTGGGTATTTTTGCAGTCACTCAATGTATGGGAGTCACTCAGGTAGTTTCTGTATCTCCAGAAGGGAATTGCTCCACCTGTAACTTTACATTCAGTATCTCCATGAAAGGAGGGAAATTCAGGGACCTCTTATGTTGCCATCTTGGTCTAGAATTTCCCTGGAGTATTTTTCAGTCACTGCATGAATCTTCCTTATTGTCTCCATCTTCCTTTTCCTCCCTCTCTAAAACATAAAAAAGAATTCAATTTAAGTTCTGATTAATCCCATGTATTGCCTCATTCAACAAGTGATTAAATATCTGAGTTCTTAAAATTTGATTGCAGTGTCGAAGTCACATTTGCGACTCCAGTGTCCTTAGGTGATATCTCTCCAAATGGCTTGTCAAAGGGAGACTGGTTTGTCTACTGGTTAGGCAGTCCTCAGCGCATGGAATTATCTTTTTCCTTCTCTTCATCTTAGTAAACGTGACAACTGTATTGTTCTTGCCTCCATAGGGGAAGATGAGAGAGGAACCCACAAGGCTGGGATGTTGACCTAGTAACCAGTCCAAACCCCTATTCTCCTCCTTTTCCTAATGCCCTTTGCATCTATTCCAGTTGTGCTGACAAAAGAGGTCATCATCCCAGCAAGTGTGTGGTGGAGCGGGTCTTCGTCCTTGGCCTCAAGAAGCAGCCATCTTCTGTGACCACCCATTCATCTGGTGAGCAAACAGGTCATTTGTTTTTGTAAACATGGAAGTATCTGCAGTGAAGAGATGATTAGTCCCAAAACTGATGTCGTGTGCTGAACTGAGTGGACCCTGTACTTTCTGAAACACACTGGTCAAATACCCAGGTGTCTAAAAGGAGCAAAGCCACCCTGCTTCTCCTCATCGACTGGTCTTTCCGCGAACTATAAGATGTTAACATTTTTCTAAGGGAAATTATTTGGGGCTTGAAAAATATTGTAACTTCTCTGAATATTTTGTTTAACTGTAGCTGTCTGAAGCTGCAGAGAATCGTACCCATGTTTATGGAGTTTCTTAAAAGGATATATCCTTTCTTACCTGCTGAACTTCTTTGTTCCTTACAGCTCCTTTTCCACCAATCTTGCACTCAAAATGATAGAGGGTTTAATCTTCAAAAAATTCATGGAAGTCCATGGGTAAAAGTGCTATTCAGCTGGATTTTCCTACATGGGGCTTAAGGTTTTATGACCAAGTGAGAAATATTTTATATTTGAAAGAAAGATCTTTCTCTCCTAGATATTCATCAAACTTTTCCTGCTATTGTCTTGATATTTAGACGGTAAAGAAGAGCCTGTGGTTTTTACATATTGTACCACAATGTCCACCCTGAGCCTGGAGAAGCTGTCACTGAACATCGGCGTTGACTGGGAGGTCCACATCAAATAACTGTGACGTGCACCCAGTGACGGGCTCAGGAAGCAGCCTGCACCTTTCAGCCTTTCCCTTGGCCTTTTCTGATATTTGTGCTGCGTGCTAATTGACTTCTCTGGCTAACAATTAGCTTTCATTAGGCACGACTTTACTAACAAAAATGGATTTCAGGTTTTACATTTTTAGAGGTACTAGGAATACTTTTTGGGTCAAACACCACCTCATCTCCTAGATGCGGGTAGCCCTGAGACTTTCATAGAGTTCATTAATCTTCCATTGCTTCTTGGATTGTGGCCCTGTGGTCAGCACTGTGGCCCAATGAGTAGCTTCTCTTTGAGCACAGCTGGATGGTTGTGTGTGTGTGTGTGTGTGTGTGTGTGTGTGTGTGTGTGTTTAAGTAAACTCTACCCTCAATGTGGGGCTTAAACTCACAACCCAGAAATCAAGAGTTACATGCTTTACGGATTGAGCCAGCCAGGCGCCCTGGATGGATTTGTTATATAAGAAATGTGGGCCAAACCCACTGTTTGCGGCCAATTTGTGGAAGCTTGCCTCAGGCCATGCAGCAGGATCAGTCTGGCTACAGTGGTGAGCTACTCAGGGCCTGTCTCCAAGGGGACAGCAGCCTCTCATACCCCTCGGTCATCTTTCACCCACTTAGATGTGGGCAAAACCACCCTTTTCTGCTTGCACTGCATACGCTGAAGCAACAGGGAATTATTCTCCCCTAAAGATTGACTCTGAAGCACAAAGGATTCTTTTCCCTGTTGTGCTTGTTGGGCTTCAAAGTTCCCAATTAATCTTCTTAAAATCCTAATGTATCTTAATTGTTTTTATTAAATACTGTTTACTGACCACAGAAGATTTGTAACATGAGTAAGCTACATTTTATAATTAATAATAACATGAACACCCATGTCCCCACAACTGAACTTCAGAAATAGAACACAGGGCTGGGATGAGGGTAAGTCAGGCACAAAAACTCTTGCCTTGGGCACAAAATTAAGGGGGTACCAAAAAAATGCAATAATCAAAATAAATAATATTTTAGTGTATTTTTCAAAATCAAAATTAATGCAAAAAATAATCCATGATGAACAAAATATCAAAATTTTAAATAAAGACAGGATCAGTACTACTAAGTTTTCTTTCTCCCTTGGTCCCCCGTATGGCTTGGCATGGGCTAAAAAGCATTAGGGAACACCAGTTCCTCCGGCTGCTTCCTGCTCTGGAGACACCAGTGCCTCTTCACTGCCTGTTACTGCATCTGTAGGGCAGCCTCGTGTGCTCAGCACGTTTTCACGTTTCCTCCACTGAGCGACTTGACAACTGCCACCTCTGTGCCTTCTGTGCCCTGGGCCCCATTATCCACCACTTTCCCCCTTCCCATGCAGCTCTTACCATCCATTGAGGCCCAACTCAAATGCCACTTTTCCATTAAGCCTATCTAAATCCTCTGTCACCCCCGCACCCCTGGACCCATGCGCGGTTACTTTGCTCATCTCTGAAATGCTGTTCCACTTATAATGTGCGCTCTCCCAGCATCCTCAGGGCAGCCCCTTAATGTTTCAGCTTTGTCTATCTTGTTCCCCTGCTAGAGTGCATGTTCCTCGAGAGCATATTTGTCTTCTGTCTGCCAGAGCACCATTATACTTGCCTTTCAGTAACCAATGGCTACAATTAGTTAACTGATGGATTTGATTGATTAAAAAGTGAGAATTTAATGTATTTGTTTCCGATTTACTTTTCTGACAGGACTCTTCCCTCCAGATGTAGTAAACATTGTGCATTTCCTTGTGGACACATTGCATTATATCAGTTGAGATTTCAGCTTTGCACCACACCACATAGACATTCACAGATTCTTTACTATTTCTGTAAGTCTTGCAATTCAGGAGAAAGGAAGAAGTCTACATTAGCTGAAGCCGTATTTCCCAGCTTCGAAGTTCCCTTAGCAACCTACAGTAAGACTTAACCTGAAAACTGGGTGCTTTTACCTAATACATGATGATGGTTTTTAATGGCATGTGAAGCTGAATAATTAAGACCTATCTTTAGATTAACATGTATTGCATTTATTCTTCCATGTAAAATATTTTTTGGAGAAAGGAATGAAACTGCTCTGTCTTGACGCAGAATGGTACTGAAAAGTTCTCTGAGAGAGTGGAGAGAAATACAGTCTGGGTGTTCATTGTTCTCTGCTTTTACGGCTTCTCACACTTCACCTGCCTCCTGTTTCTGCAGCTGTTACCAGAGCGTTCTGTGGGCATGGGTTGGCCTGCAGGTGTTCAGTTACCTTGTTGGTTGTGGCTAATTCTTGATATGTGTTCTCAGGAAACTGGATTTCAAGTAAGAATTAGAATTTTCAACAGTTGGGAATGCAAGCTGGTGCAGCCACTCTGGAAAACAGTATGGAGGTTCCTCAAAAAAACTAAAAGAATTAATTCTCACGAATTCAGCAGTTACACTACGTATTTATCCAATGGAGGCCAGGTGTGTTGCTCATGGAATACACATGCGAGCCCCCATGTTGATAGCAGCACTATCAACAATAGCCAAAGTATGGAAAGAGCCTGAATGTCCATCAATGGATGAATGGATAAAGAAGATGTGATTTATATATATACAATGGAGTATTACTCGGTGATCAAAAAGAATGAAATCTTGCAGCTGCAACCACACATGCGTGTTGGATGGAACTGAGGTATTATGCTATGAAATTAGAGAAGACAAAAATCATATGACTTCACTCATGAGACTAAGAGATGCAAAACAGATGAACATAAGGAAGGAAAACAAAAATAATATAAAAACAGGGAGGGGGAATAAAAAAAACAGAAGAGACTTATAAATGTGGAGAGAACAAATTGAGGGTTATTGAGGGTTGTGGAGGGGGCTAGAAAATGGGTAAGGGGGCATTACATATCTACTCCCTGAAAATATTGTTGCAGCACTATATGCTAACTAATTTGGATGTAAATTTTAAAAAATAATAAATAAAACAAGTTAAAAAAAAGCCCCCCCCCAAAAGAATATTCAACAGAGATTAAAAAAAGCTCTCAAATGCATAATGTGCCAGGAATGAGTTGACAAATCCGTTTAAATCAGAAAGTGCCCAACAGAAAAACAGGCAAAGGTAATTCATAAAAGAAAGTAAAACAGACAAAATGAGCATGAAGAGTGCACAGCCTCAGTCATAATCAAAGAAATGATTTTTTTTCCCCAACTGGCCAAGATTTAAAAAAGTGAAAATGTCCAGCACTGATATTAGTGTAGCAAATAGGCCTGCTCATGCACCATTAGTGGAATTATAAATAAGGATAATCTACCAGGATGAGTAGTTGGCAATAATATCAAAACCTTACATTTGCATTCTCTAACCCATCGATTCCACTTTAGATAAACCAGATGAATTGCTCAGAGCTCCTAATTGCAATGTGGTTTACACTGTGGACAACTACAAATGAGCTAAGTGTTCTTTAACAGGGGACTTGTTAAATATAGCCCTTTCATACTGCAGAATACTGTACAATTATTAAATAACAGCCTTAATGTATATCAACATAGAAGTATGTTTTTGTTAAATGTTTACTGAGTAATTTCATTTATGTAAACATTATCATAAACTGAAACTGAGGGACATCCTATACTCTTCAAAATGTGAAGGCCATGAAAAACAACAGGTCTGAGGAAGTGTTTCAGATTGAAGGGGGTACAAGAGAGACGTGACAACAGATATGTGATCCTGGGCTGGAATCTGGGCCTATAAAGGACATTATTGGGACAGTTGGCAAAATTTAGATGGGATCTTTGGATTACATGGTAATTTTCCTAATTTTGAGGGCTATCCTGTGATTACATAGAAGAATTTCCTTGCTTTTAGGAAATGTATACTGAAGTATTAAAGGGTAATGGGTCATCCCATCTCTAAGTTACTCTCAAATGGCTCAGAAAAAAATTTTATTTATGTCTGAGAAAGAGAGAAGGCAAAATGTATTTAAATGCTATGAGTGAAGAGTCTGGATGAAGGGTATATAGGACCTCCTTATGCTATATTTTCCACTTTGCTATAAGTTTTAAACTGTTTCAAAACAAAAAGTTGGGCCATATCTCTATAGGATCTAACAGCTTTTAAATGTTTGCTTTCTGTTACTGTAAAAGCTTATAAGCTGTGCTATATAAAATAGGGTGAAGCAAATGGATTCAAAAAAGAAGATACCTTGATTCTGATGCTGCAGACCACTTCAGAATGTTCCTCAGATCTGCTGTTCTCCACCTGAGAAGTGCTGGGCCAAGCCACGCCCTCTACTTCAGGGACATAAACAGCATCCTCTTGTTAGCTAGGATACCAAGGGGAGTTACTCAGATCTAAGGGCTGAAAGCCTTCAGCAGAAGGAAGGAGGGGGAAGGAACAAAAGCAGGGAAGGAATGTGTTTTGTTTTGCAGAACCAGCAGCCAGCCAAGGGGACTCCCCACTAGGTCTTTCACCTGATAGCCTCTTGTGCGAGCCAGTGTAGGCCAGTTTGGACTGTGGACCTGAGCAGAAGCCTCCCTGAGTTGTCCTAAAGTTAACTTTGGCTCATTATAATACCAGATCTCCTCCTATGGGCTGAGTGTTCTGCTGTTTTTCAAACATACAGCGTGTGCACTAGCATGTTGACATGTGAGTTATACACAGTTGAACCAAAATGCCTAAGAATAGAATATAAGGCTCTTAATATATATGCAAGCTCCCTGCCCCTGCCCCCTAATACATTGAATGAAAGCTTCCTGTACTAACCCCACAGGAAGACAGTACTTTCAGAGCTATCTGTCTTCTTACTTGTCACAATACAAAGTTCTTTGTTTTCAGCACTTCCTTGGGTTGTGTTCAACTTAATGCACACCAAGCGGCAACGCCCTTGAGTTCAGTTACACTCTGAGCAGCAGGCCAGCAGCCCCTGACCCTACACACCCACACTGTGGCAGCACTATATGTTGCTTCACCACAGAGGTCTTAATTGACTGCAGGAGCTGACCAAAGAACCTTTGGAAGGGTTCACACGAAGAAATAGAATACATGTTTAGGGGGGCATTTATTTCGGGCAGATGACTAGCATCGTGGCCAGAGAAAGTCCTTCATGCATTTGGAAGGCCAGTTTGGTCACCATCCTACTCTTCCCAGATCTGAGTTATCCAGCAGATCCTGGCAGTGGTGGATCTGAGGCTGTCAGTTCCTCAAAGAAGTGATCCCAAGAAGTAGGTTCCAGTTTGGTACCAAGACATTCTCTGAAAATGCCCAAGGAGGTTGGTTGCACTTAGGATTGACCTATAGGACTAATTATGCTCCAGGCACAGCTCACTTCAGAACCAGGTGAACTTCCATGTGTCAGCATCACCAGGACCAATCCCAGATCAGGCCATCCTCCTAACTGCTCCCTAGAGGGGAAAGGGTAGATTGTTGCCAAGAGTTTGTCTTAAAGTTGCGCTGAGCCCTATATCCTGGTTAACTAAAACCAGTGAGTCAGATTGCCATAGCCTTAGAGGAGACTGCAACTCTGGAATTTTGGGCTGAGTGCAGAGTTCTTTCACTTTCTCACATCTCTTTCAGTAGCAGACTATCATAATGTTAGGCAGTAGAAACACAAACACATAAATAATCTGGAGCTTAATGAATTTTTGCCCATAATTGACCATCTTACCTAAGAGCCTTCTGGATAATGGAATTCCTATGACCATATCAAGCTTTCCACTCGGCTTGTAAGATTTTCACCTACCAACCCCTCTGAATGCCTTGCGTAAATTCCAGGGGCAGCACCCTAGACTAAAATAACTTCTTAGCCCGGGGCCTAGAAAGCCACCTGCAGCTCCACTGGAAACAGATTACTATATTAACCACAGACAATAGAGGCCATATAACTAGCATTCTAGGTGAAATTGGTATCTGATATCAGATCTGCCTGTCTTATGACCAACCTTGCAAAAGACTGCAGTGCCACAGAAAGGCCAGCCAGAATTCTACAGCTGCTTCTTGACAGCTGTTTCCAGCAGGGCTGTGGTATTAGATTCCTCTCCAATCAGAGTTAAGGGAAGGGGAGCCCTCACTATTTATATGCAAGGATCCAGTGTTCTTATGCCTACTTCACATATTAGAGTCCTAGTTATGCATTTAGTCGCTCCCTGGAAATCAGAAAACCTGGGGTCTAGTTTGGTTCTGCACTGAACTGAGTGATCTTGGCCATGCCGTTTAATCTCTCCAGGCCTTGGTTTCCTCATCTCTTAAAGAAAAGAGATCATTTCTAAAATTCTGTGACTTTTCCATGATGTCACTGTAAAATTACGGCAGATATCTCGCGTTTCCTCAGTTGTAAAATAGCATTAATCAAACCTGCAAGGTTGTCATACAGATTTAAAATATTCTATGTGTGTGGAAAGGAAAAAATAGTAACTTTACTGTGGAGAAACGTGGTAGACACCACCTTAGCCAGGTGATCAAGATTGACATCACCTGTGATAAAACACCTCTAGATCCTGTATCCCCAAATGAGAAGGGCGCATGACTTCTATGATACTCTTCCCCCAAGTCCATAACCTCAGTCTAATAATATGAAAAACATCAAACTCCAGTTGAGGGACATTCTACAATGTAACTTCCAAGTACTCTTCAAAAGTACCAAGTCATGAGAGGCAAAGACTGTGGAACCATCAGAGACTGGAAGACACTGAGGAGACATTACAATGCAGTACAGGATCTTGGATCAGATCCTGTAACAGAAGAGGGGAAAAAAAAACCATTACTGGAAACACTATCAAATCAAAATATATCTTGTAGTTTAGTTAATACTATTTTACCAACATTAATTTCTTAGTTTTGATCATCTACCATGGTTACATAAGGTGTAAACACTAGGGGATGCTGAGCGAAAGGTATACAGAAACTCTGTACTATCCTGCAACTCTTTTGTAAATCTAAAATTACTTTAAAATTAAAAGTTTTAAAAACTATATGAAGTGGCTAGCTCACAGTGGACGCTCAATGAATGATGGGTGTTATAAGCAAATGCATTTCCTCCAATAGAGTTGAATCAAAGAAATATTTATTGGGGCACCTGGGTGGCTCAGTCGGTTGAGGGTCCGACTTCAGCTCAGGTCATGATCTCACAGTTCATGAGTTCGACCCCCGCATCGGACTCTGTGCTGACAGCTCGGAGCCTGGAGCTTGCTTTGGATTCTGTGTCTCCCTCTCTCTCTGCCCCTAACCCACTCGCATTCTGTCTCTGTGTCTTTCAAAAATAAACATTAAAAAAAAAAAGAAATATTTATTGATGGAAAAGACAGTGATACAAAGCCATTGATTGGCCTTGTTGGTGCAAAAGAAACCATTCCAACCTCAGATAGCGTGTGACATTGCCTGAAATATGTTATAAAAGCTAGTTCTTTATCCTTGACGAGACTTCTGGGAATCGAAATGCACAGCTGTTCATTATCTGCCCTTTGTTCTTGGGCTCAGATTGGATTTCTCCCTGATGGCATGAGGCAGCTGAATAAACCTTGTGTTTGGACCCACTAATCTGAGGGGGGTTCATCCACAACGATTGATAGAGCAAAGTGAATAGCACCTTGCACTCTGTGTTTGATATTCCCATCCTGCTCTGACAATAGGCTCATCTTACCACATACTCAACTTAGTTACTAAGTTACTTAGTTAGACTGCCAAGGAAAGAAAAGTCGGCAGGTGTGTGGCCCAGAGACAGCTCCAACCACAGGGGCAAATTGACCAAGAAATTTTTATTGCATTAGCAAAGCAAGAGAAGGGTAAGAAATTTCTCCTCACAGAGGGAAATTTCATTCAACAGATATACAACACATATTTATTAAGAGCTTTCTATGTGCTTAGCCCTGAGAGTGGGATGGGGGCCCAGAGTTTACGATCTTGAGGGCAAGTGGAAAGCTCAATAAGCAGAAACAATAAAATGTGGGTGGGTGCTGAGAATTTAAGAGTATAGAGTAGGGCTGGGACTCAAGCTTTTGATGGTGGAGAAAGGAAACTCCCCCACTTTGCTTTCCATGCCACTGGGGAGTTTGAGAGTGGAGGTCAATCTCTTTAGAGGACTTTTTCGTGCAGGCAGATAGGCATGCCTCTGATTGGAGATGCTGTGAACACGTGATGCTGGGCAGACTGCACCTATCCCAGGGATGGACACATGGAAGATATTCAGTAAATAAATCTCGGAGACTGAATGCCGACTGACTGTAATTCAACCTGATCTATTAAATTGGGGTCACCTCTAAAAACAACATTTATTGAGTGCTTAAGACAATCTTGTCACTATCTTAAATGTTCTACATAAATTAAAGTTGTTTAATTTTTATGATAACTCAGTAACAGAATGACTATCCACATACCCACTCTATAGGTGAGAGAATTGAGACACAGAAGAAAGGAAGAGGTAACTCACCTAAAGTTACACAGGCACAGCCAGCAAGCAGCAAGCCCAGGCTTTGAAGCTCGGCCGTCAGCCTTCAGGCTGCCCTCCCATTTTCTGCCTCTCCAAAAGCAGTAGTAAAGGTCCTTGGGCATTTTCTTAGGGGACAGGAGGATAGGCTGATGGTGCCTATAAGCAGTAGCTCCAGACACAGGGCTCCTCAAAGCTGCAACCCCAGGGACGGTGAGCCTGGTAGTATTCCCTATTTCAGCTATCACTTCCCACCTTGTCTCACAGCCTCTAGCCTTGGGCTGATGAAACTGGTCATGTAGAAACAGGCATGGCTACAGTCTAGCACAAGCCTCCACTGAGCCACACGTGGAATGTAGCCGTCACCTTACGGCCTGGGTAGAAGCTACCACGGAGCAAGATGGAGGCCAAGTAGGCAATTCCCTTCCCCAGGGCCACTTGTGCTTATCCAAGAGCCCTGATACCAACTCTCTCTGGAATGACATCCCCCAAGACCTGACAGGCAACCTGATTCAGTGTCTAGTTCCACCTGCTGACTCAGATGCCTAATGTGTGCCTGCATAGTCCATACTCAGGTGTACTTTTTGTAGCAAATTTGGTCCAGTGTTTATTTTGGGGTGTGGGGAGAGATGAGAGGTGTCTAGGTCAAGTGGGCAAGAAGGACAGGGATTTTTCTCAACTGGGGACTCTGCTGAGTGGCATTTTCCACCCAGACAGTTCCAATGAACGCTGACACCATAACATTCTAGAAGAGATGCCAAACCCAACTGAATAATGTTGATATCCTAGAGTTTTAGAAACTAAAAATTATGTGCTCAAAAATATCTAAAATATTCTCCTAGAATTCAGTGTCTCACATTCAGCCTGGCTACCTTTTCTTTGATATTGTTCTCCATTCATTCAGTGGCCTATAGTTTGATGATCTATATAGGAGCCGATTCAATAACACATCAGCAGTACTTTGCTAATTTTCAGTGTTCAACTTCCTCAAGTATTCCCCTTTCATCTCCTGACAACACCAGCACTTAATGACAACCCAGAAATGTTCCTATTCAGGTCCTTCTCTGTCCACCACGTAGTCTGCCTGCACATAGCTTCTTTTGCTCTCATACTCATAATCTTTCTTCATGCCTATTTTTAGTTTTCTTGGCTCAAGCTTCTCCAAGCCACTGAAACACAGCCCTCACTCTCTCTCTCTCCCTCTCTCCCTCTGGCATGCATGCTGCCGGTAGGAGCCCCCAGGTAAACACTCCTGCAGAAACCCTTTAGTGCTCCTTCCTCAGGAAAACCTATTTCTTCCGGATCACAGCTCAGCTTTTAAGATGGACATAAGCTGGATGACCTTCTGATGGGCTTTGAGCTTTGAATTTGGATGTGGACATTTTCTCTCAGATGACAGAATCACTCCAACTTCCCCTTTGCCGTTGCTTCCTTTCCTTGAAGGTAGTTCTATCTTGTTTTCTTTAAAAAACCTTTTCCTTCCAAATTTGCCTGCCATGCCAACCGTCATTAGCGCATCTGTGGCCCCACGGACAGGGGCTGAGCCCAGGTCCCCGGGACCAATTCCCCAGCAGGGCCAAGGCAAGACCACCGAGGCCGGGGGCGGAAACCCAAGTGGCATCTATTCAGCCATCATCAGCCGCAATTTTCCCATTATCGGAGTGAAAGAGAAGACATTTGAGCAGCTTCACAAGAAGTGTCTAGAAAAGAAGGTTCTTTATCTGGATCCCGAGTTCCCACCAGATGAGACCTCTCTCTTTTACAGCCAGAAGTTCCCCATCCAGTTCATTTGGAAGAGACCTCCGGTGAGTAGCTTGCTGGCTGCCCGTTGGGCTTTTTCCCCTCCTAGAAGTCCTCCCACTCAGCACCTCCCCGCAGCCCCACGGTGCACATGGGCACTGGGGGAAGGGTCCTGGCAGAGGCTCCCCAGGGCTCTGCCCTCGACTGAGGCCGAGCCCATTCTCACTCTCTTGCTCTCTTTTCCTAAAAAACATCTTGCTTTCTATAAAAGAAATTGGAATTCAGTGTAATCCAGCCTGTAAAAGTAAATAGCCCTTTCCCAGAACAACAACAACAACAACAAATTCTTTGTAAGAGTCCTTCAACTTCTGGGGCTAAAATCACAACGAATGACATCTTTAGTCTGCCAGCAGCCATGACTTTCTGCAACAGAGAAGCCCCAGAAAGAGGAGAGGAGCTGGCAAAGATCACTTTTTCATGCATAGAGTGTTAGGATTAGAAGGAGAAACCCTAGCAGTCGGTTTCGTCCACATACTTCGCCTCACACATGAGAAAATAAAGGCGCACAGAGAAAAGTACATCCAGAGCGAGCATGACAGCCCTGAATAAAATCCTTTCTCTTTAGGTAACTCTTCCAGCCTCTGAATTTCATGTACAGTGATCCACCAGAAAGAAAAGCATATCCTCTTGCCTCCCTTCTCTGATCAGACCGCCCATATGACTCTGGTGCTTAATTCAAGAAATATTTATTGGGCATTGGTAGGGCTGGAATGCAGGCAAGCAACAAGGGAGACAGCTGTGGATAAAAAAGACAAGAAGTCCTGCTCCCCTGGAGCCTAGAGTCCTGAAGGGAAGGCTGTCAGGAGATAGCGTTCTGGGTACAGTGAGCTCAAAAGGCAAGAACTAACCTTCCCTGAGGAGATCCTTTAAGCTGAGGCCCCGAGCTATTCATTAACTTAATCAAGTGACACTGAAGTCCTATTCATTAGCCACGTTTTTCTTTATAACCTGAGATGAAACATCCAACAACCCTGTTCTCAGCCGCTGGGTTCCCCCAAGGGCTCTTTTCCTCTCCCGGGAGCCCTGTGGTAAGGCCTGTGACTATCCTGAGTTCTCTCCTTAGAAGAAAGTACTGGAAAGAACTTCATTCTCTAGCCCAGTCACCGCCCTGCTGCCAGAGCACTGGGATATGTCCCATCCCTGTTGAAGTATCTTCCGTGACACCGTTCTCCCCTCCACCCATGCCTTCAGGATAACTCCAAACTCCTGAGCTGAGCTATCAGCCCTTTTCAGGCTGGCACCCTCTCCCCCGGATGGTGACACACTCAGCTCCTCTGTTGTTCCAAGTCTCCTCAGACCTCAAGGCCTTTGCTCATGCTCTCTGTCTGGAATGCCCTTGTTTTTTGTTTTGTTCTATTTTGCTTATTTTAATATAATTTATTGTCAAGTTGACTGACATGCAGGGTATACAGTGTGCTCTTGGTTTTGGGGGTAGATTCCCATGATTCATTGCTCACATACAACACCCAGTGCTCATTGCAACAAGTGCCCTCCTCAATGCCCATCACCCATTTTCCCCTCTGCCCCGCTACCCCCATCAGCCCTCAGTTTGTGTTTAAGAGTCTCTTATGGTTTGCCTCCCTCCCTCTCTGTTTGTAACAAGTTTTCCCCCCTCCCTTTCCCCCACATCTTCTATTAAGTTTCTCAAGTTCCACATATGAGTGAAAAGTGGAATGCCCTTGTTTTTATCTGATTTGCTCCTCCTCACCCTCTCTCCAGTGCTCAGGTGTCACTTTCTTCAGGCTTTCACATGTCTGTTCCCTACCTGATAACAGGACCTATTCCTATTCAACGCTGGACCCCAGTAGTCAGAGAAGGGCCAGGCCCACAGTGGGTACTCAGCTGCTGGTGGTGAATGAAAACTCACATCTGAGGGCATTGACCACCAAGAGATAAGGACAGCCAGCATTCCAAGGCTGGGGGTTCCTAAAAGCCTTTTCTAATATTACTACAGAGAAAAAAACCCAAAAACCTTACAAATATTGCTTTTAGTGAAATTATTGGTGGCTTTTAGTCTTAAGAGCTATACTTGCATTTTGATAAAAATGCTACCAGGGTCTATTATGCTCTAGGCACTACTTCAGTCCTAAAACTGATACTGCCATTGTCAGTGTGACATTAGGGGCACCAAAAGACCTCTTTCCAGCTGTGCTCCTACCACCAACACCCCCTCACATACAGTTGAAGTGATTAAAGTCCAGAAAGGACAATCACACAAGTTGACTGAAATTGAAAGAGTGAAATGATCCCGGAACTTTCTGAAGTGTAAAGCACTTATTGGAAACGTCAGTTTTCCCTGCATTCATAGATGTAGTGACCTTTGTCAGGTTTGAGTAGTCTGAAATGGAGACTATGTCCTACGAGAGACCATTCCTGCTTTTACTATCTGAGGCACAGAATCACTGAAAGCCAATCTGAGCTTTTCTTCATAATCAAGTTTTACTTGTTACAGTTAGATGGTGGTGGTGGTGGTGATAAGGGGAGAATTATTCAGGCCAGCTACAATTCTAGCTAAGATGATGCTGCACTTTCAGCGTTACCCTCTTAAAAGAAGAGACACCCAGGCCACCTGTCTGGGCACACCTATAATCTCTTTTCACTCGCCTATGAGGGCTACCCTCACTGCCTTGCCTCTTCTATTGGGGAGCTTCGTGCATTGTGTCTCGAGGCCAAGCTATCTGCTTCCTCTTGCCCCTATTTCTAGAATCAGAAAGCAAACAAACCATACAATACTTCCCAATTGTTGAGCCAGATTTTCTTGATGACAAACCCCTGGACAGAAGAGAATGGGCTTCTAGAACAGGGCCTCTGGGAAACTGATTACTCTTGCCCAATTTCATCAGGGAAATGCAAATCAAAACCAATGAGATATCACTTTGTCAGAATGGCTAAAACCTAGAAGACAGTAAATAACAAATGTTGGTGAGGATGTGAAGAAAAGAGAACCCTTGAGCACTCTTGGTGGGAATGCAAATTGGTGCAGCCACTATGGAAAACACGTTCCTCAAAAAATTAAAAATAGAAATATCATACAATCCAGTAATTCCACTACTGGGTATTTTTCCAAAGAAAACAAAAACACTAATTTGAAAAGATATACGCACCCCTATGTTTATTGCAGCATTATTTACAATAGCCAAGATATGGCAGCAACTCAAGTGTCTATCAATA